CCTTCGCACTCACCTTGCACACACGCACTTTCTTTCCGCTTTAAGGAAAGCATTAGGAAACAACCACCAACATACCAACGCCTGTAGTACTAGTTCGCGGCGCCCTTCACAACGAAATCCAAGAGGACCTCAGTAAGCCGAATTTAAACGGACAAACAGGACACATCCAAATGGCAGAGTGGAGGATGGTCGTTTTAGTGTAAGTTAAGAGTGAAAAAAATAATAAGTGAAATTTTTAGTTAAATAAGAAAGTTTAAGTTTAAGAATAAGGTCAAAAGTACAGAATTTAATAAATAAACATAAAGTCTAAGCTAGGAAGTGAAAGTGTAATTGAAAACAAATTTGAATGAAAAATTAACCCAATCCGAATAGAAATAAGAAAGTTTACGTAAGAAAGTTCATAAGTAAATATCCAAAAATTAAATAATTCAGGGATTTGTATTATTATAATAATTATCTAAGCTTTTTTACACACTTATTCAATCGAGTAATAGTGAAGACAGTTAGTTGAGTCAAAATTAACCAAAGTATAAAAAGACCACCGGTCCTAAACCCTAACCAAACCGGACCTAGTACTGGTCCCCCCAACCAGCTAGAAACCCTATCGAATATAGCTCTTGGTTAAAGAGTGTCGAACGTATCCTGACCCGACCAGAGGCACCCCTAAGTACTATGGAATCTTAAGTGTTATAAGAAATAAAATAGTTGGAGGAGCAGATAACATTTTGGAATCATATAACACACCCTTAAACTGGGATCAGTGGCGTAGCGGGGGGGGGGGGATAGATCCCCCCTTCGTCATTGAACTACAATTATTTACTTTTGAATTAATAACACAATACTATTTTATCCTTCTGATTATTTTTTTTTTATTTCAGACGGATGACAAATTATATTTTAATGAATATATGAGTAGTCCACTTGCAAACAGCGCACTATGGGAAATTTTACCCTACTTTGTAGCCAAAATTCGAAAAGTTGAGACATCAATATAAAACTTAGCCCAGTCGTAGGACTAGAAGTAGTTTCCTTGCCGCGCAAAAATTAACCCGTAATGGTCGCACCTCCAAAAAATTGCGTAATGGTCACACGGGGTTCAGTGGACCCCAACCCAATAAACAGATGCCTCGTAAGTTCTATTTTAAACACCGACTCGAATCCTCCACTGACCTTAAGTTTAAAACTTTGTTATCTGACAGGTTTTTTTCCAACTTTTAAATTATAACACCGTGAATTATTTCATAAAACTCATGATTTTGTACCAAGTAGTTACCTAAGAAAAATTATAATTTCTTTAATATCGCACAAAATCGCAGTATAAGATTATGGGTAAATAAGAGATCAGGGACTATTCTACCGATTTATGATGAGCTTTTTTTAAACGTTTTTAAAAATTTTTTTAAAACACTAAATAAACTTTTTTTTTTAATTGTACAATTTCACTTTAAAGTCACTTAAATGCGGACGTTTCTTTGCCACAACCTTTAAACTATAATACAAGTTTTAATTGGTATATATTCTGCTAACCGTCACTCTTTCTTTCCACTTTTGAAAAGCAGCAAATAGATTGCGAGATACACGCATTTGAAAGTGGCACAAAATCAAGCTACACATTTTTCGTTTAGAGAAAATTTCGAAACTATCTGTTTGAGGGTTACCAAATTAACGGTAAGTCAATTTATCTAAAAACAGAGTATACAGTTTTTTACTTTGAAGTATTCTCTGTAAGATAAGACAAAAAAAAAATTATTTCAAGCAAGTCGAGAAATTGACTTTTGGCCACAAAATAGGCTAAAATTTCCCATAGTGCTGTTATGTGATTTTATAAAAGTAAGCCATGAATTAAAAAAAAACGTCTACGACAACAAGTAAAATCCGAACTATATCGTTTTTTATTACCTGAAAATTTTGATAAATAAGAGCCTAATACCATTAAAAAAATAAAATAAATTGAACCAGTAACTTTTGCATAGCTAGCTTTTTTTAGCTTTTCGCGTTCTCTCCTCTAGGAAAATTGGTTTGCTTCTTTTTTGCGACCTCTTCCACTAGGCACCGAAACTACCACGTTTTCTTGTAGTTTTCTAAGTTCATACGAAGAGGAGACTTTTTAACGTGTATAAATAAGTATTATAGCGACTTTTGCAAGAGTAGTTAACATT